GATTGCTAAGCGCACTCATGATAGAGGTTCAGTTTACTTTGAACTATGACAGTTACCATCATAATTTCTGTCATCAGTTTACTTTGAAGTATGACAGTTACCATCATAATTTCTGTCATCAGTTTACTTTGAAGTATGACAGTGACCATCATATTTTCTGTCATCAGTTTACTTTGAAGTATGACAGTTACCATCATAAATTCTGTCATCAGTTTACTGTGAACTATGACAGTTACCATAATAATTTCTGTCATCAGTTTACTTTGAAGTATGACAGTTACCATCATAATTTCTGTCATCAGTTTACTTTGAAGTATGACAGTTACCATCATAATTTCTGTCATCACTTTACTTTGAACTATGACAGTTACCATCATAATTTCTGTCATCAGTTTACTTTGAATTATGACAGTTACCATCATAATTTCTGTCATCAGTTTACTTTGAAGTATAACGATTACCATCATAATTTCTGTCATCAGGTTACTTTGAAGCATAACGGTTACCATCATAATTTCTGTCATCAATTTACTGTGAAGTATAACAGTTACCAAAATAATTTCTGTCATCAGTTTACTTTTGATAACTAATTTTTTCATGGTTAAATAAACGAAAACTTGTTAACAAATGTTCATACTACCGCACATAATTTGAATATCATGTTATACGTAAACCGGTGACAGAGAGCTGATAATTGTAGTTGTTACCTGTCAATGCAGACTGTTGACGGAACTGAGGTTTGTATGTGTTAACTGGTAAAGTAAACTGATGACAGAACTGATGATTGTAGTTGTTAACTCTCAAAGAAAACTGATGTCAGAAATTATGATGGTAACTGTTGTACTTCAAAGTAAACTGATGACAGAAATTATGATGGTAACCGTTATACTTCGGATGTAAACTGAACTTTTCTACGTGTTTCTGTATCTCTAAACTTTATTCTTATTTATTTATTTATTTTTAATGACAATTGTTTATAATAATCTTACAGATTTTTCTAACCCTACTTTTTCTTTGTAGTAAACTTTAATCATAAGTCATTACGTATTTCTTCATGTAAGTATATATTTTAACAAGTATTTTAGTACCTAATATATTTAACTGTTAAATTCAACTAAAAATGTTTCGTTCTTGTCTAATCAGACGTTTCGAAATGCTTCTAATCACAAGAGGTGCAGTCATTTAATCACACACGGCTTCTTGGAATTACCCAACTTCATAAAGAGTCTATTTTAATCTCGTTCAAAGGCTGGCTTAATCCATCAAGCAAAGCATTATTTGTCTAAGCGGTTATCAGTACACTATGTCTTTATTATTTTGCTCTTAAGATAATAATAACGCCAAAAAATATAAGTGAACTTATGTAAAAGCGCCGGGAAACTCGGAGAAACAGATCAGGGATCAAAGATCTCCACAAGAGAGTATTTGTATTTTATTTTCATAGCAAAAATAAGATACTGTAGCACTTTCCCTGATGTTGGACTACATACCAGCCAATCAGCAGCATCCTACCACTCCAGAAGAAAATATTACTTGAGCTACGTGAAAAAGGGTGAACTCTTGTAAATCAGTTAATAATTCATTAACTTAAATAAAACTATGTATCTTACGAAAGAATTCGACTTCTATCCTCTTAATCGAATAATATTATTTTCTAAATATCACAAAGAAGTTAGTTACCGTAAACATTATGCATATGAAAGTAAATACACGACTGACTCCAGAACTACAAAAACTAAATAAATATACATTGTTCTCGAGATAAAATCCTTTCCACAAAAACCAAACCGTCAGTAACGATAGCTCTTACTGCATGAAGTAGAATTACAATGATATGTACTGTATCTTAACACTAAAAACACAAGGATATATGCTGTATCTTAACCCTAAAATCACTATGATATATGCTGTATCTTAACCCTAAAATCACAATGATATATGTTGTATCTTAACCCTAAAATCACAATGATATATGCTGTGTCTTAACCCTAAAGTTACAATGATATATGTTGTATCTTAACCTTAAAATTACAATGCTATATGCTGTATCTTAACCCTAGAATTACAATTATATATGCTGTATCTTAACCCTAAAATTACAATGATATATGCTGTATCTTAACCCTAAAGTTACAATGATATATGCTGTATCTTAACCCTAAAATGTCCATGATATATACTGTATCTTAACCCTGAAATTACCGATGAATCTCATTGATCTTTGAACCTACATATGCACTAAATTGATGTTGTTGTTCGCTTATTGTAAAGCTACGTAATGGGATATCTGCTCTCTGTCTACTGCAGTAAATCGAACCCCGGAATTTCACGTTGTTAAGTCCCGTAGATTTACGCTGACCCACAGGGGGACACACTAAATCGCTAGTAGATCCATGACTATGTGGTTAGGGGATTCTTGATAACGTGTTATCCCCCCCCTCTACACGATGACTCAGCGGAAAATCTGAGGGACTTATAATGCCAAAATCGTGTTTCTATATCGGCGGTGCGCACACAGCACATATAGTCCGTTGTGTAGCTCTGTGCTTCACAACAAATAAACAAAGCAGACTATCAGCGTTACAGATCAGCAGATTATCTGTGATATTACATCATTGTAAAACTGGTGATTTATTTATCACGTATTTGGTTTCTAATCAGTAAAGATTATAACACAGCAATAAATATTTTCAGTCCTATTTTGGTATAATATCTATAATGCGACACCTATTCCAGAATGTGTTGTTGACCGATGTCAGATACCAATAGCAGTAAACCGAAGAAGATTATGCCAAATACAGTAGACAAACAACGATTTATGAGCATAATTTTATGTAGAGAACATACATGTCTGATGCTTACACATCGTTATTTGTCAGTCCACTACTACTATTGTACACCAAGAGACTCGAAGATCTTGAGGTTAAGACATTATCTACTTGAAAATATAATGAATGTTTCACAAAGTTTGAAAACATTAAAATTAATCCGGCATTGATAATCTATGGTAAATAAACAATAGCCTGGTGGTTAGCATGACGGGCTGTGGATCGCAAAGTCTATGGTTCGCGTGGTAATGCTACTGAGAACTCTCACCTCTTTCAAATATGGGAATGTTATAAGAGTGGCGGTAAATCCATTTATTTGGTTCGAAGCCTAATAAAACCCCGGTGATGGCAGATGATGCTGTCTGGCCATCCTCCCTCTTGTCAGTCGTTCAAAATTAAAAGTGGTGATACCTGAACCCTAGAGGTCCCTGATGTGTTCGAAGTATCATACTTGATTTACTTGTTGTCAAGCGCAAAGCTACACAAGGGGTTGTCTGTGCCTGTCCACCACGGGTACCGAAACTATATTTCTAGTGTCGTGCGCCTGTAGACTTACTGCTGAGCCACTGGGAGGGGCCCGGCATGACCAGGTGGTTAGGGCGCTCGGCTCGCAATATACGGGTCGCAGGTTCGATTCCCCGTCATACCAAACATGCTGGGGGCGTAATAATGTGACGGTCAATCCCGACTATTCGTTAGGTAAAAGAG